GGGGTGGGGTGGGGGGGGGCGTGGGGGGGGGGGGGTGTAGTGGCAACAGTGGTTTTTGGGGTATCAGTGGGAGGTTTTGAGATGTCAGCTGGGCCCTCTCAGGTGACAGCATTGTGACCTTCCCCAGGCGCCCCAGGGACCCTCTGGGTGGGCTCTGTGTGGCCCCGAAGTGCCTGGCTGCACTGGGACCCCCTGCAGGCCCCCCCTGATGGCTATGAGCTGGAGTATGGCCCCCCCGGCGGACCCCAGCAGGTAACGGTCCCCTAAAGGATCCTAAAAACCCCCGAACACCCAGGGTGTCCCCCCAGTATCTCCTTGGGGGACCCCATAACCCCCTGGATTCCTTCAAGTATTCCAGTAACACCCCTGGGGACCCCAATAACACCTAAGGGAATCCCATTACTCTCCTTTGGTAATGGCACCCCAATACACCTCCGGGGGACCCCAATAATGCCTTTGGGCACGTCAATACCTCCCCGGGGACTCCATTATCCCCCTGGGATGCCCCAATACCCCTTGTGCCCCCAGAGCCTGTGGCTACCTCCTGAGGCTACGTCGCAGCAGCTGTGGGGGCTAGAGCCGGCAGGACACTATGGGGTGCGGTTGTGGGGCCGAGGGGGAGACCCCCAAACAGCCCCCCTCGAGGCCACCTTTGACACTCGTGAGTGGGGGGAGCCAGGGGGTGTGGAGGGGTCATTAGGGGGGTGCCCCTGGACCCCCGGGTCCTTTTGGGGGGGGTGGGGTTATTGGTGGGGGAAGCTATGTCACTTGGGGCTAGGGCTGGTCCCAGGGAAAAAGGTGTGAAGGAAGGCATGTTGTGGGGGGGTGTCTAGACCCCCGGGTGCTTTTGGGGGTGTGGTGGGTCCATGGGAGGGGGACACCTGGGGGAGGGGTTGGGTTATGGTGGGGGGGCACCCAAACACCTGAGTCCTTTTGAAAGAAGGGGATTTTTTGGGGGAGTGGGAGGGGTACACAACCAGACACTCGGGTCTTTTGGGTGCTGGTGTCCTGGAGTGAGGGGGGTCCCGGGAATCTGGGTCCTTTGTGGGGGTTACCTGGGGGGTGCCCGGGTCCTTTGTGGGGAGGAGTTGGGTTGATGGGCAAGGGTGGGTCCTTGAGAGAGGCACCCAGTTACCTGGGTCCTTTTGGGGGGACTGGGTCCTTGAGAAGGGGGTGTGTATCATTTTGGGGGGCTGGAACAAGGACAGCTGGGTCACTGGAGAGGGGAAAACCCATTGCAGGGACACCTGCACCCCTGGGTCTTTTCAGGGGGGGAACTGTGTCCTTTGGCGGGACAGCTGGATCATCTGGGGGCGTCTGAGATCCTGGGGGTGGCACCAAGACATCTGAGTTCCTAAGGGAGGCATTGGGGGGCAGCCTGAGTCCTTTTGGGAGGGTTGGGTCCTTTGTGGGGGGTGAATACTGGGGGTTCTGCTGGGTCCTGGGGGGGGGCGATTATTGGGTGGGGAACACCCGACCCCTGGATAGGGGTGGGGCAATTATTGAGTCGGGGATTTTGCGTCTTTTCGGGGAGGGGGCACCAGCACCCCTGAGTCCCCAGAAGCCCCTGGGGTGTCTGAGGGGACCCTCGTGCCCCCCCAGCCCCCCTCCCGCACCCGCACCCCCGGGACTGCGCCGAGGAGCAGCTGAACGGGCCGGGCCCCTCGCGGGAGACCCTCATCTTCCTCCGGGGGGACCCGGCCCGGCCCCTCAGGGTCTTCTGTGACATGGAGACGGACGGCGGCGGCTGGCTGGTGGGACTGGGGGCACTGGTGGGGGGAGCTTCTGCAGGGGGTTATAGGAGGTTCTGTGGAGTTCTGGGGGGGAAAGAGGGGCTTTGGGGGCAATAGGGGGGTCCTGCAGGACCTCTGGGAGCTGCTGATGGGTGGCTTCACATTGGATCTGTGGGCTCAGCAGCATGGCCAGTGCTCAGGGCTGGTCTCCTCAACCCCAGCCTTGCCCAGAGCCTCAGTCCTTCCAGGGAAAGCTGCTCCATGCACGAAGCTGGGTGTTTGGAAGGGTCCATGGCGATCCTGCCTGCTGGTGTCAGCACATCTGAAAGCATCCACTGCACTCAGCAAGAGAGGGAATACATGGTACCTCTGCTAGCAGGGACACACCCATAGAGAAATGGTAATATTTTTGATCTAAAGGCTCAGGATCCCATGTTTTGCCTCCCTGTAAGTGCACAAATCTTTCACAAGAGATAGAAAACCACAAGACTGAACGATTTCACAGGGTCCATGTTGTGATCTGACACTGGCTGGATGAGAGGTACCCAGCAAAGCCACTTTATGACGGATCTTCTCAGCAGAAAGGGAAGAGAAAATATAAGGAAAGACTCGTGCCTTGAGATAAGGAGGGGGAGAAATCTCACTGCTCACTGGGAAAACAGACTCAAATGGGGAAATTTACCTAAAGTTATTGACAAAAACATCAGAGGATACTGAGAAGTAAAACAAGCCCTACAAGCCCCGTCCTTCCTCCTTCCACAGCCCTCCCTCCTCCCCATGCGACGATCATTGTCTCTCCAAGGACACAAAAATGAAACAAAAAAGTTTTAATAAAAACAAAGGAACGCTCAATTCCTGTAGAAAATAGAGCATGAAAAGTAAAACCTAGACATCAGAAACACAAAAGGCCCTGGCCCCCTTCCTTCACGTCCCCACAAATAAATGCCTGGGGTGCTGACAGGAGCCCAAGACAGCCACAGTGAGCTGCATGTCCATGAGCACACACCCAGCAACACCTTCCCAAGTGAGGCAGGTTCGACAATGCATCCAAAGCCCTAGAGTCCCAGGACCTCACCAGCACCTGACACACCCCAAACCTCACCTGACACACACCACTGGGACCCCCAGACATGGGGACTCTCCAAAATGCTGGATCATACATCTGGGCTGGTCAGAATGTCCCAGGCTCAACCAGACACCTGAAAGAAGCACAAAACATTCCAGCTTTAGGGCCTGGCTCAGCAGAGGTGCCACTTCCCTCCTGCACACTCCCACCTGCAGCTGCACCAGCCCAGCTGCACACGCTGAACCTGCACAGCTCTGACAGCACACAGGGCTCAGGGACACAATGAGACAACATTCCCACATACACGTGGACACAAACTCCCACAAACCATGGAATTTGGGCCAGGTGAGAGTCTCCCCTGGGCACAAAACCTAAAACTCAGCCCACCTGGCAATGGGGCAGACGCCAATCGGGACGGGACACCTCGGCTCAAGCTGGGTCAAAGTCTGGCATGAGAACTTCACCTCACAAGTGGGAAAAGCCCCACAGCCAGAGGGAACGGGGGCTTGCCGGGCCTCAGAGTAATTCTGGAGCTAAAGCGGTGAGAGACATCAGCTCCGCTCAGATAATACATGCCAGCGCTCATCCCGGGCCCGACAACTGCCTCCTCCTCCTCGGACTGTGACTTCAGTCACCCAACGGAACCTGAGATAGATAAAGAGGACACTTGTTTATGTATATGGTGTCCAGAGAGAAGTAAAGAAGGCTGAGAGATAATCAAGTAACCCCAGAAAGCCAAACCCAGCAGCTGTCCTAAAAATCAGCTCAGCGTGGGTTTGGCGTGGTGGGGCCATGGCCCACAGACCCAATCCCCTGACGTTTGCACACACTGCCACCAGCCAAAGGGTTGGAGGAGAGGATTTTGGTGTGTGCCACAACTATTGGTCAGAGGCAGTGAACACCCATCCTCCCTTACACAAAACAGCTCAAAGCCACCTAAGGGAACCAGAGATAAAGGGGACAGTGTTGTTTAATTATGTCAGGTCTAGAGAGAAGGAAACAAGGCTGAGAGATAATCAAGCATCCCCCAGAAAGCCAAACCCAGCAGCTTTCCTGAAAATCAGCTCAGGGTGGGTTTGCCCTGGTGGAGGCCACGGCCCACAGACCCAATCCCCTGACGTTTGCACACACTGCCACCAGCCAAAGGGTTGGAGGAGAGGTTATCAGTTTGTGCCACAACTTCTGGTCAGAGGCAGTGAACACCCATCCTCCCTTACACAAAACGGCTCAGTTCCAAATCCCCCAACCCAGGCAGGCCACACACAAGAGACATTAAAGTGAAGGACGGCTGAGGAGCAGTGAGAAACCACGAAAGACCAGCTAAGCTCCTCAAACTCATTTTCATTTCCTGAGGCCTTTAGTGGAACACTGCATCTGCTGCAACGTCATGCAACAATCCAGAGTCTGTTGGGAGACATGGTACCAAACTCGCCACCTCCCTCAATCCCTTCGCTGGGGAATTATATTGGCATTCCCACCTTGCTGTCATGAATAATAATCCATGGGAGCACACCGCCAGGAACACCTTCCCATGTGATGCACATCTGACTATGCATCCAAAGCCCAGGGACCTCGCCAGCACCTGAGTCACCCCAAACCTCACCTGACACACACCACTGCGACCCGCAGCCATGGAGATTCTCCAAAATGCTGGATCATACATCTGGGCTGGTCAGAGTGTCCCAGGCTCAACCAGACACCTGCAAGAAGCAAAATACATTCCAGGTATAGGGCCAGGCGGACAAGACGTGCCACTTCCCTCCTGCACACTCCCACCTGCAGCTGCACACGCTGAACCTGCACAGCTCTGACAGCACACGGGGGCTCAGGGACACAATGAGACGGCTCAAACTTCGCTAGGAAGGACATTTTGCCCATTTTGGCTGAACTGTGTAAAGATGCTGCAGCCACTGAAGCCCACCCCTCCCTCTGGATGCCTCCTGACAGAAACTTTAGGCCCTTAAGCCGCCTAAGGGAACCTGAGATACATTAAGGGGAGATTGTTTTTCAACTACCTCAGGTCAAGAGACAAGGAAACAAGGCTGAGAGACAACCAAGTAACCCCAGAAAGCCAAACCCAGCAGCTGTCCTAAAAATCAGCTCAGCGTGGGTTTGGCGTGGTGGGGCCATGGCCCACAGACCCAATCCCCTGACGTTTGCACACACTGCCACCAGCCAAAGGGTTGGAGGAGAGGATTTCGGTGTGTGCCACAACTTCTGGTCAGAGGCAGTGAACACCCAAACTCCCTTACACAAAAGGGTTCAGTTCCAAATCCTCCAACCCAAGGAGGCCACACACAAGAGACATTAAAGTGAAGGATGGCTGAGGAGCAGTGAGAAACCCATCAAAGACCACCAAAGCTCCTCAAACTCATTTTTGTTTCCTGAGGCCTTTACTGGACCACTGCATGTGCTGCAATGTCATGCAACAATCCAGAGTCTGTGGCGAGACACTGTGTCAAAATTGCCACCCCTCTCAATCACATCCATGGGGAGTTACATGGGCATTCCCACGAGCGCCTTGCACCCCCATCCCCCTCTCGTCCCGTCTCTCAGAGACAGAAACTTGCGGCCAAGGGCTCATTCTTTGCTAGGAAGGATATTTTGCCCTTTATGGCTGAACTGTGTGAAGATGCTGCAACCACGGAAGCACACCCCTCCCTCTGGATGCCTCCTGAGAGAAACTTTGGACTGTGATTTCAGTCACCCAACGGAACCTGAGATAGATAAAGAGGACACTTGTTTATGTATATCAGGTCCTGAGAGAAGTAAAGAAGACTGAGAGATAATCATGTAAACCCAAGAAAGCCAAACCCAGCACCTGTCCTGAAAATCAGCCCAGGGTAGGTTTGGCGTGGTGGAGGCCATGGCCCACAGACCCAATCCCCTGACGTTTGCACACACTGCCACCAGCCAAAGGGTTGGAGGAGAGGATTTCAGTGTGTGCCAAAACTTCTGGTCAGAGGCAGTGAACACCCAAACTCCCTTACACAAAACAGCTCAGTTGTAAATCCTCCAGCCCAGGCAGGCTATAAACACGGGACATTCACATGAAGAGCGGCTGAGGAGGGGCTAGAAACCATCAATGACCCCTAAAGCTCCTCAGACTCATTTGCATCTCCTGAGGCCATCACCAGACCACTGGATGGGATGCAATGTCATGCAACAGATCCAGAGTCCGTGGGGAGACACTGTCAAAATTGCCACCTACCTCAAGCCCCTTCCCTGGGGAAATATCTGGGCATTCCTACCTTGCTGTAATGAATAATATTCCATGGGAGCCCGCCGCCAGTAACACCTTCCCACGTGATGCACATCTGACTATGCATCCAAAGCCCCGGGACCTTGCCAGCACCTGAGTCACCCCAAAACTCACCTGACACACACCACTGGGACCCCCAGCAATGGGGACTCTCAAAAATACTGGATCATACATCTGGGCTGGTCAGAACATCCCAGGCTCAAACAGACACCTGCAAGAAGCACAAAACATTCCAGGTTTAGGGCCAGGCTCAGCAGAGGTGCCACTTTCCTCCTGCACACTCCCACCTGCAGCTGCACCAGCCCAGCTGCACACGCTCAACCTGCACAGCTCTGACAGCACACGGCGGCTCAGGGACACAATGAGACAACATTCCCACAGGAACCTGGACACAAACTGCCACACCATGGACTTCAGGACAGGTGAGAGCCCCTCCCGGGAACAAAACCCACAACTCAGCCCACCTGGAAACCGGGCAGATCACAACCAGGACCCCTCTCCTCAAGCTCGGTCAAAGCCTGGCATGAGAACGCGATCCCACAAATGGGAAAAGCTCCACAGCCAGAGGGATCGGGCTTGCCGGGCCTCAGAGTAATTCTAGAGCTAAAGCGGTCAGAGACATCAGCTCCGCTCAGATAATACATGCCAGCGCTCATCCCGGGCCCAACAACTGCCTCCTCCTCTTCCTCCTCCTCCGTTGCCTCTGCCGAGGCGTGACGACCTGGTTCGGGAACGGCACGGCAGCCACCTCAGACTGCTCGGGCCAATTACTCACAGACACCAATGTGGTGAACAGTAAAATGGCATTTATTTCTGAGTTGCACGGCATTACATAGCCTGGGGTTACATCACTTCTGTCTGCTTGCAAAGGGGTGGGATCCTATCTTTCCATACAGCGCGTAATCTTCCGACCACCTGTCCCTATCTTCCCACACTTCCCCCCTTCTCTATGCTTAACCAAACGCAGTAACATCTATAAAGTAAATATTGTTAATCCAAAGCTATTAAACTGTAAGTTATTAAGCTACTAAAACGTAAGCTATTAAACTTTTATATCAGTGTTAACTGTTCAGAAAAGCTTTGCTCAAAGCAGTTGTCGGTGCTCAACTAGCATGATATTAATTGAGTCTGAACGATTTCTAACGACACCAACTTGTTTAAAATACAGAGTCTGAAGATTAATGCCAAAAGTATCATAATACAAGGGCCTATGAGAGTGGAGATAAGGGTGGTTAGCCACGGGGATTGGTTGAACCATGACTCAAACCATCCCTATTGGCTTTCCCTCTCTTTCTTCCTTGAGGCTAGTCTTTCTCTCAGTTCGGCCATTGAGTCCCCTACGACTCCCCTATGGTCTGCATAAAAACAGCATTCCTCTCTCAGGGCCACACACAAACCTCCCTGTTGCATGAGCAAGAGGTCCAAGCCTCGTCTGTTCTGCAAGACGACCTCTGAAAGAGAAGAGAGGGATTTTTCTAAAAGGGAGATGGATTCCTCACTTCTTTGCAAGTCCTCGTCTACGGTTGCCTGCAGCTGGGAAAGTCCTTGACGCTGGGTTGTAAGGGCCGAAACGCCTGTACCTGTGCCGGCAGCCCCCAACCCGAGGAGCACTGCAAAGGTGATACTGGTCATTACTTCCCTTTTGTGGAGCTGGCGAGGCTCATCGGACAGAAGATACATTTCTTCCTCTCGATGATATAGGACCCTAGGGACAATAAGAACTTGGACACAAAAGTCAACGGAAAAATTAAAGTGATCAAGGTATACACAAGGGCTGACCCCAGATTGCTGGCATACCCACATTCCTGGCCCAGATGGGATCGCCCATTTGTCCGAGCTTTGGGGCTGCGGGAATTCATCACAAACTATGCCTTTTTGTCTAGCTACAGTCGCGTTACCCAAACATTTGCCTCGACCTGTAATCTGACTCAAAGTGATCCCTCTTCGGGGGGTATCCCACCTACACTGGGGTGGATTTTGTAATGTTGAGTAGTTGAAAGAGACATTCAAGGCAACACCCTCATAAAAGGGGGGTTTTGAGTCATAACACAGCCAGCATGACTCAGTGAGATCCGGATTTGATTGGTTCAGGGACAAAAAGGTAGCATTTAGCATGTTAAAAAATGGGTCATAAGAGGCTGGCTTGGGCACTGAAAGGACGAGTGCTGTAGAGGTGGGGTTAGGTGCGTGTGTCCTATGCGTGGGTTTAACAGTAGCTGTGGTTCTTTCTCTGGCCCTGTTTCCTGCAAGGACTGGGTTAGGTCCGAGGGAGATGGGTGTCACCTGTGGGAGTCTAATGATTTGGATGTTCACCCAATGGTCGCGAAAGGCGCGGACGAACAC